CAATCGGAATAATCATGAAATCTGGTGAATTACTGAGATTTTTTGAAAAATTTAAACCATATAAATAATAGCATAGTGTGTATATCTTGTCGTATGGTGACTGCACCAAACATGAGAACATAACTAGTAATTGATAGAGTAGTCCAATGTAGAATTGACATTAAATTAAATATATAATCATTCCAATTACAATTTTGACTAGCCGTTAGAAAACAACAGTATTCGCTATATACTCTTCCGAATACAAACAACGATAATAGGGTGTAAAGATATAAGAGTGCACAGATTAACATCATTTTTGCTACAGTTATCCTAGCTGATGTATCATAAACAATTAATTTTCCAGAGCCACGACGTAAACTACTAATCAATTGATTATTCTTTTGTTTACTTGAAGAGACAGATGTCAATGAAGTACGCGTTGTTCTACTTTTATTAGAGGTAGATGAGGTATCCACAGTCTTATTTCTGGTTGAATTATTCCGATAAGAAGGTGCGGTTGTTCTAAACTTCATTTTCTTTAATTTCCATTTTACGAGAACATTTGTCATGACTATAGTGGATATCGTGGTTATCAATCCAGGTATTGTGGTGAGAGCAGGCTGCTAGCCGATTGGTTGACACTAATCTACGTTAATGTCTAGGTCACTAATATGGGCCGTGAGAAAATATGAACAAGGCTGTTTCAACAACCAATCACAGCAAACTTAAATGTGGACAAATGTGATTCGCAGATAGATGGCTCTACTTTCCGAGAAATATCGAAAACAACCAATCATAAGACTGTGTTTGTCTGCTTAACTTCCGAGAAACAACCAATCAGAAGACTGCCTTTTTCTGCTTGCATAAGCCTTATTAATGCACATGAAATATGTATAAATACGTGTTGATTTTCATAATAAAACGATCTGTTGCCAGCCCTTGTCTTCTGTTGTTACATTTGGTGTCGCTGCCTCCAAAAAGATGGAGATCCCGTGGCCAGCTGCGTTTGAAGAAGGAGACATACGGAGCTTCTTACGTGACTTCGAGGCCGTTGCTGAGCTGGTGGGTGTCAAGGAGCAGGCGGCGAAGGCAGTTGTCCTGGGGACGCTGTTGGGAGGCCGAGCGAAGGCTGCATATGACAGCGTAGACAGGTCAAATGGCACAGCGTCTTCGAAGAAATTGGTTGAACGACTAGTGTCCGAGTTTAGATGAAGAATCAGAAGCGCAGTTACTGTCTTCCCAATTCATCGAGAGTGTCCCAGACCACATTTCTCAGCGATTACAACTGGTTAACGCAACGCAGCCGATGGATATTAGTGAGCTGGCGAAGGTGACCAGACAGCTGCTGAGCACAACGGTAGCCGCTATAGACCAACCAAAACCAAACGAATATGAGCAGAAAATTGAAGCATTGCAGCGGGAAGTGGCGGCGTTAAAGTTGGCTGATAGAAAAGACCGGTGTTTTGAATGCGGTAAGCCGGGACACTGGAGAAGATACTGCCCAGAAAGGCGAAAAAGAAAAAATTTCAGACGGTATAATGCTTGTTCTTTCTTTCGTATGAACCTAGATTTAGTGGGGGCTATTGAGAAAGGGCTCTGTATTCGAAGTTGCGAGTGAATGATCGAGAAGTAGTATGTTTGATAGATACAGGGGCGGCCGTGTCGTTAATAGATAAGAATTTATGTAAGAGTGTTAGTCCGTGTTCATTGACAGTACAAACAGTAGGCGGGTATGTGTTGCGTATCACGGGTAGATCGAACTGTACGGTCGTTGTTGGTGGCTGCGAGGTGACGTTTCCTTTCATTGTTGTACCCGAACTACAGCGAACGATATTAGGAGCGGATTTTCTGCGTGAGATTGGTGCCATAATCGACACGCAAGCGAACGTGGTGATCACGAAATACGGGCATATCAACATGTATGAGACCAGCGAGATAGCAGCGATTAAGCTGTCGACGGTACACAATGTGACAGAGTTAATTAATAAATACGATCATCTGTTCACTGGAGATGGCGACCCATACGGTTATTGCGATAAGGTGAATCATGAAATTCCGTTAAGTGATCCGAAAGTAAGGTCATTTTTAACGCGAAGAGTTCCATGTCATCTGGAAGGCGAAGTGGAGCGACAAGTGCAAGAGATGTTAAAAGATGACATTATTGAGGAAGCTGATAGCCCGTACAACTCTCCAGTGCTGTTAGTAAAAAAAGCGAATGGGAAGTATAGATTCTGTGTTGATTTTCGACAGTTAAACAGTATGACAGAGTTAAGACCGTGTGCCATGCCAACAGTGGTAGAAACTTTAGATCGCCTACAAGGTGCGAATGTGTTTTCGGTTCTCGATCTTCGCTCAGGATACTGGCAGATACCGATAAAACAAGGTGATAGAGATAAGACGGCTTTCATCGTGGGTCAGACACAATATCGATTTAAACGCATGCCGTTTGGACTAGCAGGTGCACCGTTTACGTTCAGACGACTGATGAAGCTATTACTTAGGAACTTGAAAAACGTGGAGGTTTATGGTGATGATCTCGTCATATACAGTCAAAACGAAAACGATCACGTCAACCATGTAGAAGCCGTGCTGCGACGCATCGAAGAGTTTGGACTACGCGTCAACAAAACCAAGTCTCAGATAGCCAAAAAGAATGTTACTCTGTTGGGACATAAAGTGGGAAATGGTGAGATTAAACCACTGCCGGAGAAAATTTTGACGATTAAAACGATTCCAGCCCCGAATTCAAAGAGAAAACTGAGACAATTCTTGGGTAGAGCAGCGTTTTATAGTCGCTTCGTGAAGAACTTCAATGAGATAGCAGCCCCTCTATACAGGCTACTAGGTGAGCCAAAGTTTGTTTGGTCGGAAGAATCGCAGAGGACATTCGACAGAATTAAACAGCTGCTCGACCACCAACAAATGACGCTAAAACTACCTGTGCCAGGAAGACAGTTCACAGTGTGCACAGATGCCAGTGACTACGCTATAGGTGCGGTCCTAAGACAGGACGAGGGAATCGTTGAGTATGCCAGTAGGGTTTTGACCCTCACAGAGAGAAAGTATTCAACGATAGAGAAAGAATGTTTAGCAATGGTATGGGCAGTCGACAAATGGAGACCTTATTTACTCGGCCGGCGGTTCCACATCGAAACTGATCATAAGCCGCTACAATTTTTGAAGACAGCGAGAGACCCACGGGGGAAGTTGTCACGGTGGATGTTGCGTCTTCAGGAGTACGATTTTACGATCTCACACGTTCCTGGAAGTGAAAATGTCTTGGCAGATTTGTTATCGAGACCAGAAGATGAGTCTGAGTTGCCCGAGGTCGCTTACGGAGTGCATGCAGTAGAACAAGACCCACTAAGACTTGCACGTAGGCAGAGGTTGGACGATACGCTGAATACAGTAATACAGGTGATCACCAACGGAATAGAAGTGGATCAAACTACGGCGAGTAAGGAGCTAACCACACTACTCAGACAGAGGGATCGACTCAGAGTGAATGCCTACGGGACTCTGACCTGGCGAGAGAACGACGGAAGCTGGCTGGCTGTCATACCTCAATCGTCGCGCCACGACATGATAGAAGAATGTCACCAGCTAGCGCATACAGGCGTGGCCAGAACGACCGACCTCCTAAGACAAAGTATGTACTGGCCAGGTATGAGAGAAGACGTAGCAAGATACGTACTTGGATGTCCACGGTGCCAGCTGATGAAAGGTGACCGGTATACGACCACCACTTCAGTCGATTCCAGTTACCGCGATAGGTGACTTGTGGTCCGTAGATGTCATGGGTCCATTTCCTCAGACATCCAATGGTAATCAGTACCTCTTGGTGATGACGGAACACGCGACACGATGGGTAGACGCCGTAGCAATCCCAGACCAACGTGCAAGAACCGTGACAGATGCAGTAGTTAGACACATTGTTGCAGACCACGGCGTACCGAAGACAATACTGACAGACCAAGGTCCCTGTTTCGAGAGTGAAGAGTTTACTTCCCGTTTGCAACAGCTGGGCATCAAGAGGATCAGAACGACCCCATACCATCCACAAACGAATGGCCTAACGGAGAGAAACAACCGTACACTGAAGGAGTGGCTGGCCTCGAAGGGCGGGAACTGGGAAACGGAGCTTCCACTGATTTTACTAACACATCGGGCTACCACTCAGGAAACAACGAAGAAGTCACCCTTCCAACTGATGTATGGTAGAAAACCACGATTACCGGTACACAATGAGACCTGGCCCATGCACCAAAAGTGGAGTACGACGAAATTAAAAGCAGAGAGGAAAGAGGCAGTCAAGAATGTAATACGGAAGCAGCGCAGTGATGTCACGAAGTCTCAGATGAAAGAAAGGACGCAGTGCATTACCTTTGCAGTCGGGGACCAAGTGAAGTGTAGAGACAGGAGATATACAGTTGGAGGCGGGCTAGGTTCACGGAAACTCCTTCCAAAGTGGGAAGGACCATACACAATCACAAAAAGACGGGGTCAAGTATATACCATCCGAAGAGGTGATAAACAGAAACGAGTTAACGCCAGTCAGCTCCAAAGATGGGTACAGTGGGACAAGCCGGTCAGTAACAATCCTCAACTAGAGGATGTAGCACCCAGAAGGTCGGAACGTCTGCGCACGAAGCTATTTGACGGGGGGACGAGTGTGGTGAGAGCAGGCTGCTAGCCGATTGGTTGGCACTAATCTACGTTAATGTCTAGGTCACTAATATGGGCCGTGAGAAAATATGAACAAGGCTGTTTCAACAACCAATCACAGCAAACTTAAATGTGGACAAATATGATTCGCAGATAGATGGCTCTACTTTCCGAGAAATATCGAAAACAACCAATCATAAGACTGTGTTTGTCTGCTTAACTTCCGAGAAACAACCAATCAGAAGACTGCCTTTTTCTGCTTGCATAAGCCTTATTAATGCACATAAAATATGTATAAATACGTGTTGATTTTCGTAATAAAACGATCTGTTGCCAGCCCTTGTCTTCTGTTGTTACAGTATGATTAGGGTGAATAGAAATTTTACTGAATTCACTGTAGGATTGCTATAGAATTCATAGCAAACATGTTGAGTAGGTATTAATAAGAAAATATTTGTAGCAACGCTTATTGTATAAGCAAATATAATCATAGATAAAGCTGGTCCAAATGACGAATGACTCATACTGTAGTATTTTCTGGGAAATAGTGTTATATAACAGCGCTCAATGCATAAAAAGACAAAATGCCATCCAGATAGATCACAAGTTGTAAATGAAAGAAATATTTGTATTCTACAAGACCACTCACTGAACAATAAGCGTAAATCATCACCAGTTATCGAAAGATAAATTAATCTCATTAAATCTGTACAACAACCTAAAATATAGGTGATTTCCATTGAAAATATAATCAGTTGTGTTGACATTCTCAATGAACAGACGGGCCATATTAATTTCTGTCGAGATATAACATCTGCATTCGGTTGTCTGATATTTACTCCATTTTCATTTAGTTGTACTTCTCGTCGTCTTCCAGTGGGAGGATTATTGTTTAAATTTTGATTTTGAGTAGCATATTTCAATTTACGGTTGATGCGCCATCCCAGTAAATAAGTAATCCATAAAGTAGCCGAAATAATATGTGAGAATATAGTAATTATGCCTATAATTCCAATCACGTTCCTGATAAATTGATTCCCCTGACACATGTATTAACTTGTGAATGAATCAATGTGTTATTTAGACTTTTTTGTTGTTTTATAGGTTTCAAAACCTTTTCATCACTCTTCTCTACGAACCACTAATCATCATTCCAAAATGATGTGCTGAAACTGTTTTAATGACAGTTGAACTAGTCATCTGATTTTTATAGTATTCTCAGTTATCGACTGTTATGAGCATTGGGAAATTCAACCTGTCTCTTCTATTACATTGAAGGATAGATTTGAAAGAGGATTGGATAAGAGAATTTGAGGCAAAACGAATTATCCAACTAGGTGTTATAAATTAATACACCCTGAAACAGATAACTTGGTTAAGCTTCATAATGAGCACACACCCACACACTAAACAAATGAACAACTATACGTTGTGAGTGTTTGTCAACAGTTATCGGGTCATCAGTTGGTTCAAATGAATACACGTCTTACAGATCAGCTCAGTAGTAGTAGTAGTAGTAGTTCCCTTTGAGTTGTCGTCAAAAGTGGGAAGCTATCTCATGGCTATGTGGATGGAACATCTTAAAAATTAACTCCAGGTAGGATATTTTCCAGATAAGCGAGCAGATATATCCAGTACACGTACATAAACATGTTTCTCTAAATTTCTTGTTGGTTATGTCACCCTAAATCAAGAGAAAATATAGAATCACGGAAAATACACATTTAGTCATGAAGAAGATAAAAGTCAATTCGACTAAGTCATCAACAAGGCTGTACACTTGTGTATTTATAGTAAGTGTGTGAGAGGGTTCCAGAATTATTCACGGTGAAAGGTTAATTTAGCAAAATTACTAAGTTTAGATAATTAGTCAGGTAATACAAGAATGAAAAGAGTCTCTTCGATCATTCTTGTATTACCTGATTAATTATCTAATATTGACAAACCTCATGTACACACACAAAATTACTAAGTGTAAAAGCCAGAAGATAGGTAGTGGTACTATTCTAGAAATATTTCAGGTTATAGAAAAAATTAAAAATTACAATATGTTATAATCTGCAGTGTGGGAATGGAAAGACATATTAAGATATATATATTCAAGTATTGGTTTTCACCCTGCTAGTCGGGTGCAGCAGGTCGCGTGTGAAGACAAATACTCGCCGAAGACATTGGCTAGTGGTCGCACTATATCGTGAGTTGGCAGAAGTTGGGATTCGTGCGCTGGCCATTGGGTCGCGTCCCAGTGGCTTAATGGTCTGCGAGCTCGCCATGTGGCCAGAAGGTCCTTGGATCGAACCCCTCTGGGCACGTACTGATGATGAGACCCAAACTAGGCTGGCGAAACAGCTGTCCAGTACTCCACATAGGTTTTTCAATGGTTCTGTAACCGATGTCAGCTGATGATGGAATCCTGTAACCAAATAATAAGATATAATTACTCAGAAGTGGCTTTAGAAGTAATAATATAAGTTGCAAATTACGTAGTAAGTACTCAAAGGAATGAACGAAGAAAGATTTAGAAATTTGATAGGGTTATAGGTAGTTGAGTATCTTTGAACAAGTGTACAGAGAGTGTGAAAATGTAAAACAGGAGCATATGAGAGTCATAATAGTGAATTAATTATCAAAGTGAAAGCAAACTAAAAAGTGAAGTCGAAAATTAATAAAAACTAATAAAAATATCTTTACAGGAAACGATTAGTGAAGAGGTTAAGACCATGGTAGAATACAAGACTGGACAAACATTTTCTGCATACAGAGTTCGGAGTTGTATTGATGGATCGCCAGCGCTTTCGTCAAACACAAAAGCCGAAACCTGACGCCTTCTGTACCATTTGGCCTCACCTTGTAGATAATCTTGAAAGATGACTCCGGTGGAGCAATGTGGCTTGAGTTCACCAAGTACTCGAGGATTGAGCTAGTAACTGGCTTGCATTGTCCTTTTGTTAACCATACCGGATAATGTTCAGAGATGTGTTTAGGAAGCGTGAGCTATGTCCGGCCAATATAACTGGCTCTACATGAGCTGTTGAATTTATAACTACACAGTGAAGTGGCCCAAAATGGCAGTCTATCCTTCACATATCAGTTGATCATTTGCCGGTTATAGAAATAGATCTGTAGCTCAGCCGTGAAGAAGGCTTTTCTCAGTCATTTGCATATGCGATTATTCATGATCTCAGTAGTGGTATGACGTTTAAATTCAACATTCATAAGTAGCAGTTTCTTCGGCAGGGTCTGGGTTCTTTCAGCCCTTTGCTTTAATTTCTTGTTTTTCTCGATGAATCTTGAAGGATATCCATTTTCTATGAGGACTTGTCTGAGTCGCTGTAGAACTTTCTCACACATTGAATATAAACACACGAATGTACAGACTAGTTGATGAATTCGTCGAAAACAAAATATGGAATGTTCAATATAAGTATGCAAAAGATAGAGGAAGTTGGATAGAATTAGGTTGTGTAATATCCTTTGTCTGGAAAATACTGTCACTTTGAAATACTAGACTTAATGGATATATTTAGAGGACTATGAACATGATAATAATGATCTGCTTTATTCCAAAAGCGGTACTTTTAATACAGAATTGGCCTCCCAGCACAACTGACAATATTTCATCTCATTTGCTCACAATATAAATAAAATTAAACACAGGAACGTCTCGACATTTACAGCAGGAATAATGCCAAAAATGTGCAAAGCACAAAACGAGAATAATAATTCTAATGATAATAACAGTGGCTTTGTTTCAAACAGTACTTTCGATAAGATTTGGGAGTTTTGCCTTGTTATAGAATATTGGATGTAATGCTCTCTTGACATAGCATGTTGGGGGGACAAAAATTTGGAGAGAAGAAAGAAACGTATTAAACTTAAGTTTCGATATCGTGTGATTATACTTGATATGATTATGAAAAATAAATTTCGTTCGAAACGTAATTCAGTAAATAATAATACTGTTTCACTGTGTGATACATCTAGTAAACAAACTAATTTGGAAAAGTGTTTAAAACAATTAGTCCCTTTTATAAATTTTGATAGCGTTATTAGAAAAGTGTACTATGTTTGTACATATATAAGACTGGTTTTGTTTGCCTTAATACTTATTTTTCTGAAGATTTCAATCATACGCAACAACTTGTTTTTAAAATTTAGTGGTTCTGTATACTGAGAGTTTTGTTGATGTTAACAAGGCAGTCGTAACTATCAAATAATGATTTAATGAAATATTTACGTCTATAGAATATGAAAACATAAGGAAACTCTGGCTACCTTGAAACTGCTATGGTAAAACATTTCTTTCTTTAGAAAATATTTTCAGTTTCACCTATGTACCCACAAATTGATTCTACCGTTTGTAATATTTCATTTAGTTTCCTGAAATTTCCTATATCTTCAGTCATATTCAGTGGACAACAAAAAATTACATCACTTCATTTTGCTATAATTTTTTGTATCACGACTTTCATATTTAGACAGAGGAACTGAATTTCTTCGCTACACCTTCCTATATTACACATCTACTTTTGACGCAGTATCTAGGGATATTTTGTTAAATTAACTTGTTGAAACATAAACTGAGTGTTGGATTCTCAAATAGCTGCATTTTTATTTCTCAGGAAGACAGCAGTGCACTTTATGTTTGGGGAAGTCGTCCACTGCTTTACTTACTGAGTCTGATGTGCCTCAGGGCAATGTTCTTTCTCATTTTCTGTTGTCTTTCTTCTTGCATGAATAAGTATCCGTTCTTCCAATCCTCGGGTACTTTGCCCTCTTTCCACACCTTCTCCGATAATGGTGTCATCAAGTCCGCTGATGCCTGAGGGTCCATTTTCAATGCTTCTGCTGGGATTCCATCTGGTCCTGGTGCTTTCCCAGCTTTTAGCATCTTGATGGCATTCAGGACTTCTGATTTCGTCGGGGGGTCAATGTTCACTGGTAGTTCTGCTTCCGTTGTTGGTGTTGTTGGGCGTGTTGTAGGTGGCGGACGATTTAGAAGTCTTTTGAAGTGTTCAACCCAGTGCTTTCTCTGTTCCACCTCTTTGGCTTTCCATTGTCATCCTTTATTGGCTTAATCTGTGTCGAACTTTTGCCCGAAAGGTTCCTAGTTGTTTGGTAGAGTATGGCGAGGTCTCCTTTGCCTGCAGCTTGTTCTGCTTCGTTTTCCATGGTTTCATAATATTTTTTTGTCTTCCCTGGCACTCTTCTTCACTCTTTTGTTCAGTGTATTGTAGCTTGCATTCAGCTCCTGTCTTTGTTGCTCGTCAGTGCACTGGATAATCTTTTGTTTCACTGTCCTTCTCTCTTCTATTAGTCACCAAGTGTCCGTAGTGAGCCACTGTTTTTCCTGTCTCTTTTTTCTGCCTAGAACTTCTATACAGGTTTGACTCCACACCGTTTTCAAGCTGTTCCAGTGCTTTTCGATGCTGACCTCTTCGCTAGTGTTGATTTGTGTCTCGGCTTTGTACTTTATGCTTGCAGTGAAGATGTCCTTTGTATCTTGGTCTTTCAGCTTTCGAATGTTGAACTTGGCTTGTGGTCTATCTGCAGCTCCTGTTCCTCTGAAAGCTTTTAATTTGATTTCGATTGTCTCTTGTACGAGATAGTGGTCTGAGCCAACGTCGGCTCCTCTTCTTCCTTTTGTGTCCAGTAGGCTGCGCCTCCACTTCCATGAGCAACATTGAGATGAAGTCGATTTGGTTTTTGGTTCGCCCATCTGGTGACACCCATGTAGCCTTGTGGATATCTTTGTGCTTGTATACACTGCCACCGATCACTATTTCGTCGAAGGCGCAGAAGTCGGCGAAGAGTTCTCCATTTTCATTCATTTCTCCGAGAGCTTCTCTACCCATGATGAGTTCCCTTCCTGTGTTGTCTGGTCCCAGTTTGGCGTTCATGTCTCCCACTAGTATTTTCATGTCACCAGCTGGAGTATTGTCCATTGTTGCCTGTAGTTGTCTGTAGAATTCTTCTTTCTTTTCGAGGTCTGCGTTGTTTATGGGTGCATAACATTGTATGATTGACACTTTCCTCCCTTTGAAGTTGA